GTGAGGGCTTGGGGTACTTGGGCTCAGCCTGGGGCAGAGGCCCAGCCAAAGGGGGCTACTTTGGCCTGAGTTCCCAGGAAGCCTCCTTTGGGGGAGTTCTGCTAGTCACCCTGAATGGAGCATCTGGGCTTGCTAGTGCCAGGCACATGCTGGGCACAGAGTCAGACTTGCTCCTTGGCCCTCGAAGGCCCTGTTCTGTGGGAAGATAAAAGACTGTGTACATTGTCCACCAGAATGGGAGGCAGGAAGCAAAAGAGGCAGGAAAAGGCATTGAGACGCTTGGAAATGAGACAGGAGAGCAGCCTGTGAAAGAGATGGACATTGATTGAGGGAGGCATGGAGGGGAGAAAGATCCACTTGGAGAGATTGGAGAGACTTAGAAGAGAGGCAGAGAGACAGCCCCAGGGGGAAGGAAAGAGGACTAGAAAGGGAGAGGGGCTCCAAGGGCCTGGAGGATTTTGAGGGATCCGCCCCCCCCCGCCCTGCTTAAAGAAGAGGGCATCAATGCCCAGAGACAGAGGAGGGCTCCCTACCCCCAGGCCACACAGAGGACCTAGCATAAGCAGAGCTGGGAGAATCAGTATGTATGGCCTGTCCCAGGAACACAACTTGAGTCTTGGGAAGTACTTGACTATTGGGTTTGATATTATTACCTTCTTCTAGGCCACCATAAGGGGCATTGGGAGGCTTTATTCCAGAGAGGGAGGGGTGCACTCTAGGTTCCAGGAGTGGGGAGAGCAATAGGTGGATTTATGGAGGTAGGAAAAGACATAGAAACTCATGGTGACAAGACAGGAGAAGAGATGGTGACAGAGACACTGACCCTCAAGAAAGGCATTAGTCCCTGTGCTGGTGGTACCAGAAGGGATAAGGCCAAGGTCTCTGGCTTCACATAGTCCTAGGCATTACGGAGTTAGAAATAATTTAGTCCGGACCCTCTCCCCTGCCTAAACGAGGGCAGAAATGCTGATCCAGCCCCAATGCTGGCTCCAGAGGAGCTCTGATTCCTCTGGAACTGAACAGGCTCCCCTTTCAAATTGGCACCTGGGGTGAAACACTAGCGCATGGGGAGTGGCACTGTCTATGGTGCTGAGTGGCCCTACCTCCAACCACAGAGCTACAGGTAGGTAGTCGGGGAAAGCAGGAAGGTTGCATCCACCTATCATCCATCCATCCATCCATCCATCCATCCATCCATCCATCCATCCATCTTCATTGAACTTAAAAACAAAACCACAGTACTGTATGTTGCAGGAAGGACTGTATAGAACTCATTTTTACTAATGAGGAAACTGAGGCCTAGAAGAGGAAAGGGGCTTGCTAAGGCCACACACAGCATCTGTAGTCCATCTAGGACAGGACTGGAAATTGCTGCTTTTTTTCTACACACCACAGATTCTCCCCTGGGGTCTGGGAAATTGCCTGGTTGTTATGCTGACATTTATACTGATGTTTGTTCAAAAAA